CCAGAACCAGCCGGCATGGGGCCAGGAGCCAGGGCACAGGTCTCTCCCAAGCCAGCTCTAATTCACTGCTGCCCACTCGCCACAGCCTTGAAGAAGCAGGGATGTTGCCCAGGACAGCCTGAGTCAGCATGCAGGATTTTGCAGAGCAGGAGGGGAGCAGGGTATCTACTAGTCAGGATTAAAATGGTGCCCTTTTCTTTTTAAAGAAAGGCTACCTGTTGCCTGCATGCCTTATTTTTCTCCCTCCTCTATCATTCTCATCGTCTGGGTAAAGGTAAAGCACCTTTATCCCCGACAATAAATGGGGATAAAATTCCTTATTACTATGGGGTGCATTGTCACCAATGAACACGTGGTCCTCTTGCTGGCAAGATCCAGAGCTGCTTCAGCCATTACATTTTAGGCACACACTTGATACGTTTTGTGCTTAACTTAAAATGTCAACCATGCGTGCAGCAAACAGGTATAATATACAGGTACACTCATCAGGGAGCTAAGATCAAGTGCAACTTTCTGTCAAGTACATAGCCTGCGGGAATCCTGGGTTTGCTTCAGAAACTGTGTGAACTGACCCTCAGTTATGTAACTACCCTTGCTTGGACCTCATGTGATTGCTCCGGCTCGGTTGTTCCATGCTGCTGTGTTGCTCCTCTCCCCACACAAATGCTGTGAATGAGGTGGGGCAATGGCACTGTGAAAACCTAGTCAGAATGCATCCTAAATGCAGCCTTATGGCTTCAGTATCAAGGCAGCTTGTCTCTTGCTTCATACAGAAGGTGCCTAGCAGTACCAATCAGAAAGCACCGTGCACCTATTCTTTTCTCCCCCCCCCCAAAAAAAAAGCAGTAAGAAAACATAAAAGAAGTGGTGTTAAAACACAGGAAGGAGACAACCATGACTGGAGTCCCCATAAAATTCCATAAATGAGGCAAGGTGATGGCGTCATAAAAACCTTGTCTGAAAGGGTCATAGCTGCATGATGGAGCACCTGCTTTGTATGCAGAAGATCCCAGATTCAACCCCTGCTGTTTCCAGGTAGAGCAGGAAAAACAGCTGAAACCCATCTAGCCCAATAGTACCAACATTGACTGAGCTGCTGCCAGTCGATGTTGGCACTGTTGGGCTAGATGGACCAACAGCCTGACCCAGCCTAAAGCTGCTTCCTATGTTCTGTACTTAGTAATCATAGCTTTGGAGTGTGTCGCTCCTAACAGGATAACCTCTGTACTTGTGACAAAGAGCACATCAGAATGGAGAGGGACTTAGGACCAGGTCCTTAGCCTATGTGCATGATCAGAAAATGTGTTTTGTGGGTACAACTGATGAATCACAGTGACGCTGGAGGGTGGCTTTGAGTGTCTATCATGATTGATTTAATATAGATGGGGGAAGTGATGTTTGGGGTCCTAGGTGTTGTAATTAGTTATAAATACATGAGGTGAGCTCTGTAATTTAAGTGAAAGGTAGCTCAAAAGATACAGCTGTGAATCCCAGTTTCGTAGGAGTGCATTATGGGAGAAATGGCTCAGAAAAGGGCTAAATTTGGAAGTTTCTGAGATGGGTAGAAAGTAATCCAAGTTCAGGTTTCAAGACTGCTTGCCATTTTGAAACTTCAGGTCATTCCTTTGCAAGGCATGTTAAATGGCACAGGGAAAGGCAGGTTCTGGTACAGCCTGTCAAAAAGTGGGGTGCTAGGCATGTCATGAGTGGAGCTGGCTGGAGCAGGGGTCAGACTAGATGGCCTGGAAGACCCCTTCTGACTCAGTTTCTATGTTTGTGTTGTCTGCTAAAATTAAATCTTTTGCATAGTTAAAAGTGTAGCATTGGGGATCATGGAAGGCTGCACAACAAGAAAATGGAACCAAACAATTATTCTCGTGCCCTAGGGGCTCCCAGGAAGTTTAAAATAAAAAGAGAAATTATTTTGCCTATAAAAGAAATACCCTAGGGTTCCTAGGTGAATTGGACCTCATCCTTTTTCCTGCTGATAGTGCAGGAAATAGAGGAAGAGACTGCCGAAACAGTGCCCTCTGCACCCGTGAAGGTATGGAGGTCTGTGAAAATTGCAGTGTAAACTGGGTGCCATTTTAGAGTTCACAGGAAGCGGCTTTAGAGTTGCAGATAAGAGCAAAGCTGACTATTGGATGTATATTTAAACTGAAATTGAAAAAAGGTTCTTTCTGGAGGCCAGCATGGAAAGCAGTATGTTTATTAGTCTGTATCATTTCTTTCCTCCATCCTGCCTTCTAGAAAGAGGTTCCACAGTTCTTAAGGGTAAGCAACTTGTGGCCCTCCAGGTGTTTTGGTTTCGAATTCCCATCAGCCCAAGCCAGCATAGCCAAGGGAAGGGATGACAGAAATTGTAGGGCAAAAAATCTGAAAGGTACACATTGATGCAAACCCAGGGCCAGCCTTACAGGTGGCTAAGCTAAGTGCCTATCCTGGCACCAAGACAAAGAGTGTGTCTCACTGTTTATTGAGAGTATTGTCTGAGATGAGGTAGAACAAAATCAAAAAATAAGTATTTTAACCTTTTTTCAAAGTTCTGCAGTTTTTCGATTACTAACAATGAATACTGATTTCCATCAATTTAGCTCTAAAGTACATTCATTTTCAGTTCCTGATTGATATATTTATTCTAAATAAAAATCCAGGCAATGGTTTTACTTGGCTACATTTTATGGTTTTGCAAAACACTTTAAAAGTGATGGGAGAGGTGGCACCAAAGGCATGCTTTGCCCAGGACTGGAGCACACTGCTTTTCCTTCATTCCTTGAAAAAGGAATATTTGTATTTACTACTTATTTGTTGTATTTTCTAAGTTGCCTTTCCTCCAAGGAGCCCAAGGTGGTGCATGTGGTTAACTTGCATGTGGTACATGAAGCTGGGATCCAGTGACTGGACCAAAGTCACCCAGTGAGCTTCATGTGGATTAACTTCCAGCTCTCCCAAGTCCCAGCCCAACACGTATCTGCTGTTATGTCTCCTGTACAAGCCAAGTACCTCACGACAAGATAGTTTCCTAGATCACTGGTAACCATTTTAAAAAATAAGAGGCAGAGTAGTATTCTGTGTCATCTCAGATGATGGCTCTCCAGTATGCTAGATGGGTTTGTGATGATCTGGACTCAGGAATATCTTTTAAGAACAAGTGACATCTGGAGGTCCTGTGGTGAAAATTTAAGAGCTGAAAAGAGCAGGCAGCAGTTTCTAAAATATTTGAAAAAGGTTCAGAGCCCTTTGTTATATATGCATGTTTCTTTTAGTCCCACTGTTGCCTGTGATGGAGTAGGTTTTTCAACCAGTGCAAAAAAATTGGAGAACCGATTTAGCACCATGAGACAGAGAGCTCCTAGCATTATCAGTCAGAAGCCTCTGTGCAGCTGTTCCATCTGTTCCTATTCGGGACACAATCCTGAGCATACTGGCTGAAGAATGCTGGGCAATGCAGGATTGCGTTTCTGAGAGTCCATAGGATTGCAATGGATTTTCTGCGGTAAGGAAAAAAGATGGAAGACATGGAAGGGTTGCCACTGGACAGCGATTTTATCTGGACCACAGAAGGAGGCAGTGCACTGGCGCCATAAAAGCCTCCCCTAGAAGCTCCACATCTCCTCAAAAGCAAATACCCCCGAGTTCAGTGGAGTTTATTCCCAGGTAACTGCGTTCGGGATTGCAGGCTATAGGATTCACAAATGCATCACGGGGTCTGGAGGCAACGAAACCGCAGGAGGGCCAGCTCGCCGCGTTTGAACCTCTCTTTTTCGATGGTGGCTCCCAAGCAATAGGCTAAGCGGGCCTGCAGGGGTGGCGCTCCCAGAGTATGGAAGGGAGCGCTCCTCTCCTCTCTAAACCGTGCTTCGCTCACCCTTCCTCCCTCACTTCCTATTTGTGCGACACCTTTCCCAGTCTCGGTAGTTCACTTCTCCCTCCTCAACGTCCACCTCTGTCCCGCCCCGCCTGGCCTAGAGCCATCTTGGCCTTCTTCCACTCGGGGCATCGATCGATACTCTTTGCCCAGGAGGGACCTGTCCTTCCGCACTGACCCACCGCGGGGGGTGTATTCCGCGCAAGTCGATGGCGGGGATCGAAGACGTGCGGGCGCGCTCCTCGGCCGGGTTTGCCGCCGCTGGCGTCGGCCGAACCCAGTGAAGGTCGCTGTGACCGGCAGAGCGGGGTGGGGTGCGGGGAGCCGTCGCCGTGCGCCTGCCGTTCGTGCTCGCAACATGGGGCGCGGATGAGCGACTCCTTTTCTTTCCCAGGCCTCGCCAAAGCTTTGGGAAGTCACTGCCGTTGCCCCCAAGATCTCGGCGGACCGGGGGAATCGGCTGTCCACAGAGCACATGCTTTGCATGCGCAAGCTCTGAAGAGCAATCCCCGCCGCGGAGCGACCAAAGCCGCCGCCTGGAGAGCCCTTGGCGAGGAGGGCAGGCAGCGCCGAGCTTGAGGGACCGATGGGTGGATTCGGGAAAAGGCAGAGTGCATTTGCAGCGACCCTCACGCCTCCTCCCCGCTCCTTCCCTCGGTTTGGTCCGCCGCTATTTTGGATCAGGGCAGCAGTACAGCGTGGCTTGGCTCCCGACAACTTTGGGCTTTGCAGGCGGGGCCCGTGGGCGCTCTTCTCGTCGCCCGCCCGGTCTGGCATCCTCCGCCGCGGCCAGTTGGCGTGTTCGGGTTTCCTGCCCTGCAACGCCTCTCCGCTGCCGCTTGGGCACCGCCCCGCCCCACCTGGAAGCCCGCCAAGCATCCGGTCCCTTTCCCACGGGCCGGGACCCTCCGAGCAGCTCTACTCCTTGCTTGGCCTCTGGCCCCGCGCCAGCTGCAGCGGTTGCCGGTGGGTTTCCCCGGCCCTAATTCCACTTGTCGGGTGGGGCGGGGAGGAGGGAAACACAGGCCTTCCCACGAAAGCAATTAAACTGCCTCCGAAGCAAACGGAGGAAAGGGAATCGATGGTGCAGGGAAGGCGGCGGCGGCGGCGGCTGCAGGCTGGGTCTGGGCAGTGCCGCGTTTCTTTTCCTCCGGAAAGCGCTCGCCTCCTTCGCCGCCCGCCTGCTCCTGCCCTAATCCCCAGCAGCTGCACTCCCTCCCGCCGATCAATAAGCCTTTCACTTTTTGCCTCTTGTTTGTTCCGCGGGGAGCGGGATCGATAGGAGGAGGGGGCGTCTCCTCCTCGTTTCCGCTCCCCCCTCGCCGGCCGCTCCTTCTCCAATTAGTCAGCCCTGGAGCCTGCGGGTGGGGGCGTTGTGTGCTGCCGCTGTCCTTTGGACCCCAACACCAGCCGGCAAGGCGGGAGGATCGCGGTCTTGCTCGTCGCCTTCCCTCTCTCAACTTTTTCTCCCCCTCTTGCTCTTCCCGTGTTCGTCGTCCTCTTTGCCAAGGAGGCGTGTGAAGGTCCGCGCGGAGATGGAAGGTAGGGATTAGCGGGGAGCCGCCCGGGGGCCCTGGGCACCCGGAAAGGGACTCTCTCGGAGGAAGTGGTGGCAGGCAGAGAGAGTGAGAGGGAGCCCTCTGTGAGCAGCCTCGGCATCCCGGAGCAGCAGCCAGAGCAGGGCTGACTGCGTTGCCTCTTCTCCTTGGCACAGACTTTGCCAGCTCGTGAGTGATTCAAACAAGTGGCTCCAGCATCACTTTGGAGAGGTGGCCCTGGAGAGCGAGGCTCCTGCTGCCCGGCTCTTCCTTCCTCCATCGCCGCTCGCCGCCGTTCCCTGGCTTCCCCCCTCCCCTCCCCTCCCCTCCCCTCTTTTTATTTGAGGATGAAATAATGTTGACATGCCTTGAATTATTAAGTATCCCCTGGATTTTATTAGCACACGATGCCTAAATGCTGCTTGTATCTGGTGGGGTCTTAACCGGGCGTGCGGAGGAGCGGCACACACAGCGGCGCAGGGAGCGGCGGGCAGCTCTGGCAGCTGGGCTCGTGCAGATAAGCAAGCGGAAGCACCAGGAAGAGATCACTAGTGAGACAAGAGCCAAGCGACGGCCAACAGCTCCCGAGAGACTGGGGCCAGGCTCCTCAGTCCTCCCCCTCCTCTTCCTCCTTGGCTGGGCTTCCTAATTTGGGGGCGTCCTGCAGCAGCCGGGGGAGAGCGGCCGGTGCCGGGCACCCCAGGCTCCCGCTGCCTCCCCTCGGTGGGGGGGTTGCGTGCTGCCGGGTGCCTCCGCACAGATGCCGATTGAGATCGTCTGCAAAATCAAATTTGCAGAGGAGGATGAGAAGCAGGCGGCGAAAGAAGAAGGGGACAAGGAGAGCTTGCTAGAGGAGCCCAGCCGGCCACACCACCGCGGCCTGGCTGCCTTTGCCGGCACCAGCACATTGCACGGCCTTAGCCACATTTGCCGCTCGGGGCAGCTCGGGGTGCGACAGGCCCTCTGGGCACTTGCCTTTGTGGCCTCGCTGGCCTTTTTCCTGTACCAAGCCGCCCGGTCAGCCCTCTTCTACCTGGAGCACCCACATGTCACCACCCTGGACGAGGAGGCTACTCAAAAGATGGTTTTCCCAGCTGTCACTATTTGCAACATCAACCGCTTCCGCCACTCAGCCCTTACTGATGCCGATATCTTCCACCTTGCCAACATGACCGGGCTGCCACCCAAGGACCGTGATGGGCACAAGGCCTCTGACCTGCTCTACCCTGACCCAGACATGGCTGACATTGTCAACCGCACCGGGCACCAACTGGATGACATGCTCAAGAACTGCAGTTTCAGTGGCGAGAACTGCTCTGCAGAGAACTTCACTGTGGTGAGTGGCTGTTTTGCTTTTCCTGGGCTCTTCTGTCAAAGCTTCCCTGAAATGATGGCACCTGGCAGTGCCCACGTTTAGGCGAAGGCTGGGTTTGTGTCTCAAGTTTTACTCAGGAGGAGAGCAGAGGACTAGAGCATGAGTGATGGGACACCAGCACCGCTGTAGGCAGTGGGAATCACTGCATGTAAGATGTGAGAGGAAAGGAGAGTGGCACTGGTATGAAGAGGCCAGGCACTGAAGGAACCCTCCAATTCTGAGCCTGGGTAACTTTTCTTATCTTGGCAGAGGACAGTAGGAGGGAGGAACAGAAGGCTCCAAGTTCTGCGTGGGGAGCCGTCTTCTCCCAAAGCGTTAAGAGAAGGCAAGAGGTATCTGAGCAGGTGATGCATATACTTAGCTGTTCCAGTGTTTCATCCTTTGTATGCTTGGTAGGCAAGAAATGAAGTGTCTTTCCAGACTTCAAGCAAGCTGTACTCCTGGCTTGGTGCCCATGGTGGCATTGCCAGCGTCCTGGCCGGCATGGCGTGGCAGCCACTCTGCCATCCTCTTGGCATTTTCTGGCGTGGCTCTTTGCCTGCACTATCAGGGAGGCTTCCCGCCAGTTGGAACAAGCCAGCCCTGCACTTGCTGTAATATTGAGTCTGAAAAGCACAAATCCCCGCTGTGGTTTGGGGAAATAAATGTGCTGAGCAGGCGGAATACCTGATGGGACCCTTTTCAGACCATAATGACTCTGGAAATGAGCTGCTTCTCTCCTGCGGTCACTGGAGGCTGCTTCGCCTCCTGATCATTGTGTGTGGATGGCCGGCGGAGGGGGCGGTTCAGGGCAGATAGAAGCCTGGGTAGAGGGTGAGGCTGGGAGGAGAAGACACGCATAGACACACACGTTCGTAGACACGTATTTTCCTGGGCATGTGTGCCTGGTGGGGCAGAAACTGGCCTTCGCACATGCTCTTTCCTCTCTGCTCAGGGCTCTGTTACAATAGCATGCTTCTGGCATGGCAAGAGCCAGAGGAAACATAAGGCTGAGAATCCTGGAAGGGCACACCTACCGAGAGTCCTATAGGAGCCCTGCCCCACACTTAGCACAGGCTGATCAGAAGGATGGCTGGTACCCACTTCCTGCAGGCTGTATCTGAATGCCAGACTGAAGTGGTTGGAGCGAAAGGCAATGCCAACCATAAAGTGACTCTTCATAAGATTTTCTGCAAAATTCTGCAAATTCAGTACTGAATATATTCTGCAGTCACTATACATAGGGCAGATTAAGTCCTGTGCCCCAGCCATTTGCTCAATCCTGTTCCAACCACCACTAACCCCCCTCTCCGCACATGTATGCACAGCTCATGTTTCTTTGGACTAAATCACATATTACACTGATATCTCCAGATTTTTTTAAATGGCTGTTGCTATTATTGAAAAACATCTCTGGGGGTCTGCCAATTACTCCAGTAGCATGGAGGAGGAAGAGGGTGTTTAGCATCTCCCACCCCTATACTGTTCTCCTGTTCTAAATCTGCCCCACATTAGCTTGAGTTTGCTTTATTTATTTTATTTATTTATTAAAAAATTTCTATGCCGCCCCTTGCCATTTAGAGAGGGAAAATGCAGCTATGTCCCCATCCCCCCACTCATGGGGCATACAGCAGTTCAGGGAAAGGAGGATTTTCACGAGGAAAATAACACATGCGGGAAGGGCTGAGCACTCCTTCTTCCTGCTGCTCCAAAGCAGCTGGCAGTCCCCGAGACGATGTTTTGGTAAAGAGCAAAAAAAAACTGGTCGGAAAACCCAGTGATGGTTGTTCCACACAGGGTGTCCTTTGGCCTTAACATTTCACTGAATTCTGCCTGCCAATTCAAGCCTATTTCTAGCCTGAAGGTCTAGAAATTTGCTGTTCAAACGTGTGTGTGTGTGTGTGTGAGAGAGAGAGAGAGAGAGAGAGAGAGCACGAGTGGGTGTGTGTATGTAGGAAACGGCTGATTTTTTGTATACTCAGTTCTGATCCAGTACCACATACTGCACTTTTGGAATAAAGAAGTAAAGTTGTGACCATAGCACAAGGAAACAGATGCTTCTGGGACAGGGGGGAGTGTTTTGGGGGGTGTTGGTGGATAGGGATGGCTCACCAGTGGGATCCCAGGGTGAAAGGCACAGCTCTGAGAAGCAGTTTAGGAGGAATGCCCCAGGATAGCCCCTTGGGGGCAGCATTAGGTGGAGGCTTCCAGACCTTCTCTGCACTTTTTGTCCATTCTTGCGTTCTTGTGGTATGACACTGATCTCCGCTCTCAGCGTTTTACGTGCTCTAGCTCAGGAGTCTGTGGCATCAGTAGAAATGCAGGGGTATGGGGCAAAAATTAGACACTGAATGGCCGTGGGGTTCAGCAGGGGCCTCTCCCTGCTGAGGCTAGCGTGGCTTAGGTCCCACTTCAGGCGAAACTGCTGCTGCTCCCCACCCTCGCTCTGGCCGTGCTCTTACCTCACCGCTGAGCTGCCTGCCTGCCTGCCACTCGCACCGTTGCATCGCATGATGAATCCCCTTTAAAGATCCTGTAAGTAAGAGCTGTGCTTGGTAAATGATCTCCCTCTATTTAGCGTCACAAATCCACATTCTTTATGGGACAGCAAATTAAGGGGCCGCTGGGAAGATTCCCCGGCGTAAGCATCTCGTGTGCAGTAAAGCCCGGCCAGCATAGTAAATCTCGGTGGGCTGTTCCTGAGCTGCCGCTGGCCTAGCTGCTGCAGACCCTCCCGGCTGTACCGGCGCTGGGAACTGACGGGGCGCTGGGGGTGCCTCTGCTAGAAGGCAGGCTGCAGGCAGGAGACCTGACACCCCACCATCACCTCCTCTGCCACCCCATGACGGCCACTGAATGCATCCATGTGTATGAACCCTGTGCCTTGGGCTCCCAAACTGTGCTGAGCACCCCCCCCCCCCCGCCTTCCGCTGCTTGAATTGTGCAGGGAAAATCAATCAGCTCTTTGTACTCCACTGGACAGGAGATTCCCTGGCAGCCCTGCCCTCCCCCGCAACAGCTGAGGGAAGTCGGGCCCCCCGGCATGTTCTGCTCCGGCCCCTCCTTTCCCGGTGTCCCTGCAGCAGGGGTCACAGGCACAAGCCTCTCCCCAGGAAGCAAAAGTGAGTTGGACAGTTAACTCCTTTGGTGTTGGGCTGGAGCAATCTCTAGCCAGCCTGCTTTGGAGGGGTGTGTGGGTTTGCGGATCAGTTTGCTGTCCTCTGGTTCTGTGCTCTGAGGCAAACACATGACGGGTGGATCTGAACCTTAGCTCCCCTGTGTTCTGCTTGTCTCAAGCCCTAGGGCTGCCCCTGAATATCCTGGGTGGTGCTGGCAATGGTGGGGTACAAAGAACTCAGGGGTGGAATGGCTATTGAGGTACGGGCACCAGGAAGGGGTCAAGGGGGGTGGAATCTGCAAGGAGGAGCACGGCGGGAGTTTGTGGAGAGGGATGCTCTCAAGCACACCAACAGAGCATACTCAAAAGAGCAATTACCCAGCTGGCACCTGCTCTGCAGGGGTTCCAACACATGGAGGGGAAGCTAATGTGCTACTAAAAAATTGGAATCGATGTCTTTTTTGTTCGTTTGTTTTTAAATCTTCCCTGCCCATCTCAGTTTCCCATCTGGGAGGCTCTGTTAGGAAGGCTCCCAAGTTTTGCAGTTGCTGCATTCGCCTTCCATTCGTGTCTTCTCTGGGACTGGCATGTTTGGATTGCTGGCGATGGACAACTCTCCAGGAGGAAAACACAGTCTTGGCAGCTGTGTGGGGTTTAGCCACAAAGCCAGTGGAGGTGGGAGGAAGATGCCGGACTGAGAAGACAAGCTGATGATCTGAATGGTGCAGCTAAGACTTGCGAGGCATCCTGAGAGCACGGATGGCGCTGAGAGAGCAGGGAGGACTGTGGCTGAGCCGCTTTGGCAGAGCTAGGACTTCTGCGGTCCAGGATTTCAAAGCGTTTCCCCGGCGATGGCACTTGCTGCAGGAACCTGCTTTGCTCTTGGCTGGGACCTGAGGGTGGTGGCAGGGGCGGCCAGGGTCAGAGAGCATGGCAGAAGTCGGACCCAGTCTCTGAGCAGTGGGCCTCCTTGCCTGCCCACCTGCCCGGTGCATTGTGGGCTGGAAACACAAAGGAACACACATTTCTCTCTCTCTCTCTCGCCCCCTCCCCTAAATTGCTGTTGCTCAGCCCGCTTTTGCCGCCTCGTTCCCCAGCTGTATAATCAGCGGCACCCCGTCTCGGTGCTGGGGCTGGCGATGACCTTTCCTCCACAATCGTACTTAATAAATGTCACATTTTCCAGCCTATTTTTACTCTGGGTAAATAAGTTCCCTGCGCCGCCTCCCCCTCCACCTGCCGCCTCGTGCCTGCCCATTGGTGCAGCTCCTTGGCCACCACTGTTTGGAGGCAGCAGCACAATCCATTTCCCCAACCCCAACCTGCACAATCGAGGGGGGAAAGTGAGAAAAGGAGGCTGTAGGCAGTCCTGCTTGAGTGGGTGGGTGGCTGGGAGCTGCGGGGGGAAGGTGGGGGGGGATTGATCCTTCCAGTCAGGGGAAGGGCATGGATTGGCCCAGGGAGGGAGGAAATAATCCCCCAAGAATTGTAGATCAAGCAGAGGTAAGTTCTCTTTTAAAGCTATTTCACATGGCCTGTGGCATGTGTTTCCAGTGATGCTTTGGCAGACCTGTTGCGCGCCTATGTGTTGGGAAAACACATTTGTGCTGAATTTAAAATGAGGGCTATGGTGGAAGTAGGTGCCGTCTTTGTACTAAAGACCCATCCCCCTTGCGTAAACCTGCTGTCCCTCCCCCCTCAGTTGCTGTTGTTTTTCTCTCCTAACAGTACACATTTCATCCAGTCCTGTCATAGTTCAAGGGTGCTGTCATCGCCAGCTTGGTGCTTTGGCATATTGGACACACTTTTCCTTTTTTCTTGTTTTGGCGGAGTTCTCCCATTAGCCCCAAACTGGCACGCAGTG